CCCCCCCACACACACAGCATAATCAAGCACAAACCCAGGCAGGGCCCAAGCAGGGCTGCTGCAGCACCTGAGCAGCAGGGGGCACATGTAGGAGGCATCGTGCATCAGGGCGGAGGCGCGGGTAACGTGCACAAAGGAGCGGCTGCCGCGGCCCTGGCCCGCCGCGCCCCCGGGCAGCAGCCAGCCATACCTGCAGGGGGAAGCGCAGCCCAGCACGGGCGTGGCACGGGCTCGTCAGGCCTGTGCAGACAGGAGACAAAGGTAGGCAGCAGAGGGTGCGTGCTGCAGCGGCACCAGCCCATGCATGCATCCGATGCAAGGGAAGCTGAGGTTGGCCCGCTGCCTGCTCACCGCTCCTCCATCGCCAGGCGCTTGGCGTGCCACACATGCATCTCCAGCCGCCGCGGGCTGCCGCTGATGCCCTCTGGTGCTGCAGGGGCGGCTGCCGCCCCCGAGGCTTCCGCCGCGCCTGCTGTGGCAGCAGCCGCGGCGCTGGCGGCCAGGGAGGCTTCCGTCCACGCGGCCGACTGGCGGAAGCGCTCCTGCAGCGCCGCCGGCTGGCGCCGCATGCGGCGGTTTGTGAAGGGCCGCGCCACAGCCGCCGTGGTCACCTCGCCCGACTGAGCACCCTGCGTTGCAGCTGTTGTCGATGACGCCGCTGCTGCTCCGCCTTCCTCCTCGCCGGCCTCGGCGACTGGGTTGAGCTTGCGCCGTTTTCCCGCCAGCTTGGCATTTGGACGGAAGCGGTGGTTGTGGAACGGCTTGTGGCTGCCTGCCCGCCGCCGAAGGTGGCGCGGCAGCGCCGCCACTCCAAACTTGACGCCCAGCTTGCTGCCCTTGAGCGCCGCGCATAGCGCCCGGATCTGCAGGTAGCTTGCGCGCACAGGACCGACTTGGACAAGTCGGCAGGCAGCCAAACAAGGTGCAGGGTGCGCAGAGGCCAAGCAAGCATGTGGCGAGGTGCCATACCGCCAATGTCACCATCGCCTCACCTCTTGCTCACGAGCGCCGGCAAACCTCTGAACGTCCAGCGCCCGGGGCAGTGCTGGAAGCTGGCCCGGCTGCTCCATCACCCCTGCAGCGGGCTCTAATTTGTGACAGACTGCAAACACAGAAGATGAACGCGCCTGTAGGCCGCAGTGCTGCCGCAGTGCTGCCGCCAGCGCCGCCACGCAGGCGCCAGCGTGCCTGCCGCCTTGGCTGGGCCTCTTTCTTGCAAATACTTCCCGTCTGCTCCCTACACATCATGAACCAGACAATGGGCGCATGATCCAGAACATGGGACGAAATCCAATTTTGGGTCGTCCTCGTGGGCTGCCACCAAGCCGCCTTCACCTCCGGACGAGCGCCGCTGCTTGCTGCCGTCGCCAGCCTTGCTCTGCACTGTGTATTGCCCCTGGCGCCAGCTGTCGGCCATGCGGGGATCCAGCCGCAAGCGGGCGGCACCGTTGTGCATGAAGCGTGAGCCCTCCGACAAGGAGCAGGTGGACACCAGATTGTCGGTTGCGAGCTAGCGCTTCCCTGCAGGAGGGGACGGGAGGTGGGTGAGCAGTGGAATGCATGCATACGCTGCGCTGAAGCGCAAGACGAAGAGAGCAGGCCTTGCCTAGCACTGTGATGCACGCGCACTTTGAGCCGGCGTTGCTGCTTCTGCAGTTGTTGCTGCCGGGCATGTCGAGTCCTCGGTCGATGGCGCTGGGCTGCAGCCCCTGTTCTGCCTCATCATCAGCAAACTCCAGCACCAATGCCTCAGCGCAATTTGGGTCCCCCATAGGCACCAACAGATCAAGTGGGTTCATCACGTTGCCTGTGCACCAACTGGCTGCATCGACTCATAAACGGGTTGGCGGCATCCCCGGCAGCCGCTGTGCTGTGCTGCGCTGCGCCACTGTTGCCTCCAGCTTTGAGCTCGTTCTCTCCAAAATTTTGCCAGTTCTGTTTGTTGCTGTGTTTCCGTCTAGTGAACAACCCTCCCTCGTCACCGCAGCAAAGAGCGGCTGTGTTACTTCGTCGCGGTTTGTCGTTTATTACTGGGGAAGCGTCTTGATCAGCCATGGGCGTGAAGGGGCTGCTCCTCATGGCCCTCGGTTTCGGCCTGCTAATAAAGGCTCTGGCAAACCCATCGGCGTCCCTAACAGCCCTCTCCAGGGACCGCGTAGTATTTCAGGTGCAGTTCAGCTGTCCTCCCGGTGCCCCCGGGTCCTCGCACAGCGCCTACCTTGCCACTCACCGCCCCGCCACCGCCGCTGCTGCTGCCGCCGCTACGCGCGTTGCCCGTCTGCAGACGGCGTTTGGGGATGTTCACATGGCATTCTACCCCAACGTTGCCCCCAAAACGGCCGATCACATCCGGCGATGCGCAGAGCTGGGCCTGTGAGAGTACTGAGTTCTTCTGGGGATCCATTCTTGAAGTCCAACTCAACGTTTCGTGATCTTGTTGCAGATATAACACGAATCACTTCTTCCGAGTCGACAAAGGTTTTGTGGCCCAGGTCGCGGATATATCGGGGGGACGATTAGCCCCCATGTCTCGCATGCAACAGGTGGTCAACATACACAACAAGACCGTGTATAGCTTGTTGTTGTTCTAACAGTTTTACCAGCCTGGTCTGTTACAGGAGGTCGCTACTCGCCACGTGCCGCTGGAGTTGCACCCTGATGTTAAGCACGACCGACGTGGAATTCTGTCCATGGCCCGCAACGATGACCCTAACAGCGGCGGCTCGAGTTTCTCACTTCTCCTCGGCCCAGCCCCGCACCTGGACCAACATTATGCGGTGTTTGGCGAGGTTGTCGAAGGAATTGAGACGCTGGCCCGGCTGGAGGAGCTGCCAACTCGCACAGAAGGTGAGAACTCAGGAACAAATTTCAGATTGTACGTTGTTAGTTTCAGATCCATCGATCCGGCATTCGTCCTGGCTGCTTCAGGTATCTTTGTGATGCCTATCGAGAGGATTACCATTTCATCGACATACACGTGAGTGATGCAAGCCATCCCCATGTCCTCTCTCTCCTGTCCCTCCCCGCACACCCTTCCTTCTCCCTGCCCATGCAGATACGTGGTGGACCCCAATGTGGCTGACAAGAATCCTGCTGCCACCAACCACAAGCTGTGCACCGAGGAGCTGGCGTCTCTCCAAGGCCGCTACAATGCACAGGCTGCGGCGATAGAGAAAATCAGACAGGAGAGGCTGCCCGGGCGGCGCTGACGCCTGCAACGTAGTTGGCGGGTGCCGCCTGCGGCGGCGCGGCCTCGGACTGGCATGCAGCCTCAGGGCGCCATGTGCTAGCGTTTGTAAATCACGATTTCAAAAGCTTTCGAGCTTTCAAAGCAGGCTACTGAACGGCCGTTCAATACAGCTCGTGCGATCGCTGCTGACCTTCGGCCCCGATGAAATTACAAATCATCACAAGCATGTGGTCGCTGAATGGATGCCAAAATTCAAAGCATGGCTCTCCCTGCTGCGTGCTGAGCGGCAGTAGAGTTTGGTGGCTGCAAAGCTCCTTCTTCATTGCAATGATAGCATTTCCAGTCGCCAAAGACTGGTTGAGGGCAAACATTGAGCGGCCTCGTTGTCTCCAGCCCACAGGCTCCACCTCCCTGCCCACCCTCCTCCTCGCTGCGCCCTCTTGGAATGACCAGCGTCGAGGGCGTGAAGCCTCTCTGCGAGCCTGCCAGCGCGGTGCAGGTATAACTGCAGGCCTCCTTGGTGCCGCCGCCGCTGCCGCGCCTGGGTGCGCCGCCCAACAGAGAGGCTGTATTTCCTCCCGTCCCTGCCTCTCCGCTCTGCAGCCGCGCCATGATTGATTCCGCCAGGATGGATGACCTACCAGGCGAGGTCGTGGGTCTCATTTTGGAGCTCCTGCCAACAAAGTGCAGGTGCAAGGCTTCACGCCGCCACTCCGACGCCTGCCTTGTTGAATGCAGCTGCTTTGCCGCAGGCATGTCCCTCTGCTGCTGGGGTCAGCGCCCCAAAGCCCCTCACCAGTTTCGCTCCCCCTCTTTCCGCCCCAGTCTTGACACCATTCCGCTGCCGCTGTCCTCTCCTGGTGCAGGCCCGCCGCGGCTCTCGTCTGCAAAAGGTGGCACAGCTTGGTCTTCAGCCAGCCGGGGCTCTGGCGCCACCAGGTGCTGCGGCTGGGGCCGCTGGAGCGCCTTCCGGATGAGGAGCGGGCGCAGTGGTTTGCTGCCAAGTCGGCACTGCTGCGCCGTGTGGGCCCCTTCATAGCGCACCTCCGCGTGGCGGCCAGCCCCACCTGGCACTTTGACCCGACAGACGCGACGGCAGCATCCGATGCAGCCGCCGCCGCAGCGGCAGCGCTGTCGGCAGCAGGCCTCAGCATCATCAGCCTGTTTTCGCTGCTGTGCCGGCCGCTGGCCGGCCGCCTGCGCCGGCTGACCATCTGCTGCCATGAGCTGCTGAGTGCGGAAGCGGCGGCGGTGCAGGCGGCGGCCTGCTTTCCACAGCTGACCAGCCTGGCCCTCAACGCTGGCGCCTCGAGCCTGTCAGCCGACGCCTCCGCTGCCATTGGCAGCCTTGCCTCGCTACGCCGTCTGCGCGTGCACGCTGTGGAGGTGCCTGCCGCGCTTATCGAGGCCGTGGCGCGGCTGGGCCGCCTGTCGCGGCTTGAGCTGGTGTGCTGGGATGCGCTGCCGCCGGTGCGTGCGCTGGGCGCGCTGAGCTGCCTGCGGCTGCTCAAGCTGTGGGAGGGCGACCGCAACGCTGGCGCGCTGGAGCTGCCGCCGCCGGCCGAGTTCCCTCAGCTGCGGGCATTTGACTTTGACTGTGGGGGGCAGCGCTTCCAGGTGGGCGCTGGATGCTGTGGAGGGACGCATCGATCGCTCTTGCACAGTCGCCGCTGCTACAGCGAGCCGCGCTACCAGCTGGGCTTGGCATGCACTTGCTAGTCCCCCCGCGCAGCAGCTGCTGGCAAGCTGGTTGCCTGCCGCTGGCTTGTACAGGTCGAGGGTGGGGTACTGAGGCACTGCGAACGCAACCCAGGGCTGTTCCGGGGCCGGCAGGCAGGCGGCCGAGCAGCAGCAGCAGCGGTGGCAGAGACTGGACTGGCGGCAGGCGGTGAGGAGGGCGAGGAGCAGGAGGAGCAGGAGGCCCTTCTGCAGACGGCAGAGCGGCTGGCAGCGCTGCTGCCGGCGCTGCTGCCTCCGCGCGCGCGCCTGGCGCGACTGACGCTGCACAGCGCGGAGGTGCGGGCCGCTGAGCTGGCGGGCTGCGCTGAGCTGGCGTCGCTGCGGGCGCTGGAGGTCCTGCACTGCACCAGCCCCGACCTGGATGCCGCCGTGGAGGCTCTGATGACCCAGGCGCCCCGCCTCACCGAGCTGCGCCTGGAGGGCTGCCTCGCCGGCAGCCTGCCACCCTGTGTGGTGGCCCGTCGCGGCCTGCGGCGCCTCAGCCTGGCGGCCAACAAGCTGCAGGAGCTGCCCCCCGGCGACTACCTGTCTGGTGAGCGGGTGCAGCAAAAGCAGCAGCAGCAGCTGCTGCGACCAGCAGCCGTCAAGGTGAGGTGTGGCTGTGCCTGGCCAGCCACTACTCAGTAGCTTGCTATTCATGTTTGTACCTGCCAACCGTGCGTGCCTGCTTGCCTGTCTGCTGCAGCCTGCCGCCACCTTTCGTGCGACCGAAACTGGTTCCAGTCGCTGCCGGCCTCGCTGGCCGCTGCCACATCATTGACGCGCCTCGACCTTTCCAGCTGGGTGGCGCTGAGTCAGCACGACGTGGACGCCACGTTGGCGCGCCTGCCACACTTGCGCCGACTCGTTTACCAGGGAGGCTGGACGGAGACGGCTGCAGAGGTGCTGCGGCACCTGGCAGCGGTGGCACCACGGCTGGAGGTGCCGCTGGGCGGGCACGGTCGGCGGCTGGCGCGGCGGCCCAGGGCGCTGGTGGCCGGGTTTGGCAGCCGAGGCTCGGGCCTGGCCTACCTTCACAGTTTCCAGGAGGGCGACGACAGCAGTGGGGATGATGGTGACGAGCAGGAGGAGGAGGAGGGAGGCGGGCTTCAGGAGGCAGGGGAGAGGCAGTAGGGAGGGCAGTAGGTAGCGCTGCTGCCTCATCGCCCACGTGCCGACGACCCAACTATTCTTTCACTGTTCATGCCATCTAAACAATATCTTTTTGCCCAGGATTTCATCACTTTTCATTACGGCTGTGCTAACATGCATCAACTTTCCTGTTTCAATTCATCTCTCGCACAGCCCCAGCTCCTGCTACCATATGTCTGCCTCCCTCTGCCCAGTGTATGTCAACAGGGGCCAAGGAGCCACCCATTCTTCCAGCCACCTATGGCATAGTGTTCGAACCTTTTGATGTCACAAACACTTTTCCAATTGTTTTGCTTTACACAGCCTGGCATCCCATTTTATTCATGTCCTGCCTTGCCTGTACACAAGGCGAGCCTTGGGTCAGCAGGTCAGGGCGAGGCGTGCGGGTGGCGGCGCAGGACCGGCCCGACTCTTGAGCAAAGTAGAGGCGTCGGGACGGGGGAGGGGAGGGCATCCAGAGAACAAATGCATACCGGGGGCGCGCAGCGGCGGCGGCGCACTGAAGAATGGTTGGTAACGGTTGAGGCACGGCGCAAAGGAATTTTCCAAATCAAACAGAGGCAGGCGAATTGCGGTGCAATGCATTATGTATGTTGTATCCGATACCATAAGTCACTGGCGAAACGTTCGTTGCTGAGGCTGAGTCAGCCATTGGCACTGGGCCACTGGTCTTAGTGGCTGGGAGGCTGGTCAGTAGTTGGAAGCGCCGGGAGGCGGGCCGCGGCCTCTGCCGCCGCCACCGCCGCCGCCGCCGCCGCGCCCGCCACCGTTTCCACGGCCCCGCTTGCGCCCGGCGCCGCCCTCGCCGTTGGCGCCCACGCTGCCGTAGCTGGCCCCCTGGTGCACCTGTGCCGGCCTGGCCTGCTGCTGCCGGCCGCCGCCGCCATTCGCGCCGGCGCCGCCCCAGCCGCCGCTGCGGCCGCCGCCGCCGCCGCCGCTGTCGTCGATGCGCAGGCCGGGCACGCCCTTGAGGCCCTGCAGCAGCAGGCCCGGGTGGGGACGGCAGGTAAGCATGCGGCGTGCCTATGCCAAACCGGCAATGCGTGGGGGTGTAGCAAGCCCTCTGCAGACTAGAAGGCTTCCTGCCCGGCGCTTGCTCAACTCACCATCATGCCAATCGTCTTCTTTTGCAGCGGCGGCGGCTGCGACAGGCCCATCACCGCTGCAGGCGCGGACGGGGGCAGCAAAGGGAGGCGGGGGGTTAAACACCTACAACAGAGCAACACACACGCTGCAGCGCAGCACAGCGCAGCGCAGCGCCGCGCCACGCAGCGCGGCGGCGCGGCAGGGGATGCCCCACCCGAGAAGCGGTTGGCCTGCTGCACCAGCTCGGGCTTAGACCAGCCCATGCCCTTGGCACTGTTGTAGAAGCCCAGCCAGGCGGCATAGGCCTGCACACACACACACACGCACACACACACTCACACATAGGGGGTGTGGCGTCGCACAGGCGAGGACGTGGGCAAGGCCCACCGAACAAAAGAAGAGGGCGTGGGTGTTTGGCCTGCCGGGCTGCCCAATTATCCGCGCCACCACCACACCCAAACATCCGCACTCCGCACGCCCATTCCCGCCAACCCACCATGTCGGGCAGGCGGTCGCCCACGCGGGCCAGGCCCGCCTTCACCGCCGCCACGTCCTGGGGCGTGGTGGGCACGCCTGGCTCCGCAGTCAGCGGCAGGTCTGCAGGCGGGCGAGCGGGCGGGCGGGGGAGGGGTGGGTGGGAACGAGCTCGCCAACCCAAACACATGCCGGGCACAGCGCGGCAGAGCAGCACAGCACAGCTGGGCACGCTACGCTACGGCACAGCGCAGCTCAGCGTGGCACAGCGCAGCGCGGCGCGGCGTGCCACCCACCCCGCAGCTGGCGCATGAAGTGCTGCTCCTCTGGCATGAGGATGAGCAGGCCCACGCCGGCGCGGCCCGCCCGCGCTGTACGCCCCAGGCGGTGGATGTACTGCTCCCGCGAGCTGGGGATGCCCACCTGCAGCGGGCGGGGCGGGGAGGGCAGGGTGCGGTATTGTATATGTGTGTGCGCGGGGCGGGCGTGTGCAGGTGGAGAGTTGACCAGGCGCGGCAACCTGGTGTGCCATCTCTCTGCCGCCGAGAAGCGCCCTGCCATCATCTCCCGCAAACCCACACGCGCCACCAAACACACACGCAGCTCATCGCACAGCACCAATGGTGGCACTCCCTAAACATTTCATACCACCTCCACGCCAACACAAACACCACCACCACCAGCCCACCACACACCACCACCACCGCCGCCGCCACCACCGCCGCACCTGCAGCACCATGGTGACGTCGGGGTAGTCCACGCCGCGCGCCGACACATCTGAGGAGAAGAGGATGGCTGAGGTGGCGGTGCGGAACTCCTTGCTGGCCTTGTCGCGCGCAGACTGCAGGGCAGGGGAGGGAGGGGGCGAGGGGGGGAGGGGGAGG